TATCCACGACACTGTCGCAAAGCCTAGCAGGCGTGGCACTTTCTCGACACCAGAGGGGGTGCGCAGAGGGGTTGTCCCTGAGCTCGCCCGCTATCCACGACACTGGCGCAAAGCCAAGCAGGCGTGGCACTTTCTCGACACCAAAGGGGGTGCGTAGGGGGTGGTCCCTGGGCTCGCCCGCTATCCACGACACTGTCGTAAAGCCTAGCAGGCGTGGCACTTTCTCGACACCGTAGGGGGTGCGCAGGGGGTGGTCCCTGAGCTCGCCCGCTATCCACGACACTGTCGCACAGCCTAGCAGGCGTGGCACTTTCACGACACCAGACGGGGTGCGCAAGGGCTGGTCCCTGAGCGCGGCCGCTATCCACGACACTGCCGCAAAGCCTAGCAGGCGTGGCACTTTCTCGACAGCAGAGGGGGTGCGCAGGGGGTGGTCCCTGAGCTCGCCCGCTATCCACAACACTGTCGAAAAGCCTAGCAGGCGTGGCAGTTTCACGACACCGTAGGGGGTGCGCAGGGGGCGGTCCCTGAGCGCGGCCGCTATCCACGACACTGTCGCAGGTCCTAGCAGGCGCGGCACTTTCTCGACACCAGAGGGGGTGCGCAGGGGGTGGTCCCTGAGCTCGCCCGCTGTCCACGACACTGTCGCAAAGCCTAGCAGGCGTGGCAGTTTCACGACACCATAGGGGGTGCGCAGGGGGTGGTCCCTTAGCGCGGCCGCTACCCACGACATTGTCGCAAAGCCCAGCAGGCGTGGCACTTTCTCGACACCAGAGGGGGTGCGCAGGGGGTGGTCCCTGAGCTCGCCCGCTACCCACGACACTGGCGCAAAGCCAAGCAGGCGTGGCACTTTCTCGACACCAGAGGGGGTGCGCAGGGGGTGGTCCCTGAGCTCGCCCGCTATCCACGACACTGTCGCAAAGCCTAGCAGGCGTGGCACTTTCTCGACACCAGAGGGGGTGCGCAGGGGGTGGTCCCTGAGCTCGCCCGCTATCCACGACACTGTCGCAAAGCCTAGCAGGCGTGGCACTTTCACGACACCGTAGGGGGTGCGCAGGGGGTGGTCCCTGAGCGCGACCGCTATCCACGACACTGTCACAAAGCCTAGCAGGCGTGGCACTTTCTCGACACCAGAGGGGCTGCGCAGGGGGTGGTCCCTGAGCTCGCCCGCTATCCACAACACTGTCGCAAAGCCTAGCAGGCGTGGCATTTCTCGACACCAGAGGGGCTGCGCAGGGGGTGGTCCCTGAGCTCGCCCGCTATCCACGACACTGTCGCAAAACCTAGCAGGCGTGGCACTTTCTCGACACCAGAGGGGGTGCGCACGGGGGTGGTCTCCCACCGCGGTCTCTATACGCGCCAATGTCGCAGGGCTTAGCAGGCGTGGCACTTTCTCGACTCCAGAGGGGGTGCGCAGGGGGTGGTCTCTCACCGGGGTAGTCCCTCACCGCGGCCGCTATGCACGACGGTCGTCCAGGGCATAGCAGGCGCGGCATTTTCTCGACACCATAAAAGCTGCGCAGGGGGTGGTCCCTCACCGCGGCCGCCATGCACGACGGTCGTCCAGGGCATAGCAGGCGTGGCACTTTCTCGACACCATAGAGGGTGCGCAGGGGGTGGTCCCTCACCGCGGCCGCTGGCTGGCTCGAATCTGTCCTCGATGGAAGATAGAAGGCTAGGAAGAGGGAGGAGGTTCAAGCAATATGGCGTTGGATGACACAGAGGGGAACATTCGCGACGAGGGCTGAGAACGCAGAATTGCGCATATATGATAAACTTAAGCAAGCACATAAGATTTAAATTAAGTATGTGGGGTTCCTCGGTAGCGTAATTATGGGGCGCCGCAGCCGGCGCTCGACCCTCTGGCAGGCACGGCCATGCAAGGGCTCGTGCGGTATGCGGAGGAGTGGTGGAGGACCACCGACAGGCGGCACTGCAATGGCTGCGCGCTGTGCCGGAAGGACCTGAGGAGGGCCCTCAAGGCTGCCCAGGACTTGGTCACAGGCAAGCCAGACGCGGGGCTGGTCAGAGCCACGCTGCGGATGCATCATTGGGCAGGGTGGCAGGGCGCCATCGCCACCGCCTTCATCTCGCCGCAGTTCGGGCGGCTTGCGGTGTTGGAACATGCGCCAAAGGAGATGGCCACTTTCTTTGCCAAGGACGTCTGCAGGCCACGGAGCAGAGGGCCGACGGACCCAGCACGTGCTCACCTCGATCATTCGTTTCGCTACTGGGCGCGACGGCCAAGATGGCTGGAGTCCATGCGCTCAGCCCTGCGCTGCCTGCTACGACGACTGCCTGACCAGCCACCTTTTGTTGAGCAGGCCAGCGCGCGAGGTGGCGCCACCCAAACACGTCCTGAGAGCGTTCGTTGGTGAAGTGGCGGTTGATGTACAGTGCATCTCGTTCCTGCCTGGCGTGGCCTTGGAAAGGAATGGATCAGCCTCGACCTCGCCTCTCGAGTTGCTTTGTCGGGGGGGGGGGTCGGGGTTGCGCCACAGGACCCTGCCACAGGCCAGCTCAGGCGATTGCTGGGCACCCTGCCAGCCCATGTAGCCCAGGCTGTGAATGCAGAGCACGGCGCACTCGGGCTCGCAGCCGAATGCACTGGCGGGACCGCCGCGTACAGTCAAAACGTGTATTGAGGACGGGTGGTAAGGACGCAGGACCCTTGGAGGCCGATGTTGGGATGTTGTGGGGCGGCGGGCGACCAGTGAAAACGGCAAAGGACGGGCCGCAGAGGCAAGGACACAAAGGTACCCTCAATGAAGGCGCGCGTGCGAACTAGGCACGTTGACTGTATATAGGGGACTGCAGTGCGGTCCTGTCAGCCGCCATGCAAAGCGCGGCCTCTGGAGGAACCCCCCAAGGCAAGCCTGCCGGCTTTTGGAGGCGCCCCGCTAGGCAGAACGGGGCCTTCGCCTCCCTCGTCGAGCAGAAAGCCCACTCTGAGGCCCCAGCTAGCCCGAGTGGCCCCTCAGAGTGGGCCACTTGGCTCAATGATCAGGCGGACAGGGCCGCCGAGCAAGCTGTTAGACTGCACTTGGCGGCGCGCACAAGGGGGTAGGGGGAGGGGGGAAGGCTTCTTAGAAGAAGGAGGCTGCTTCTGAGGAGGCGCCTACAGAAAAGGCTCGCGCCTTCTGAGAAGCAGGGGTGCTCCTAAGAAACCTTCCCCCCTCCTCGTACCCCCCTCTGCGCGTGGCTGGTGCACGGTATGCATGCGCCCTCTATGGCGCTCGCCGAAGAGCCGAAGACCAGCTAGCTGGAGCTCGCAGGTTCATGCATGCTGCTTCTCGTGTGCTGGAGTCCAGGCCAGCGGCCAGGCAAGAATGGAAGCACCTTCGGCAACCAGCGCCAGGATGAGGTCCTAGCGCACGAGTTCGTCCAAGTCGGGCCCTTCAGGTGGCAGTGCAAGCGATACTCGAGGTCGAATGCGGCCCCGAAAGGCATCCCAGATCGGAAAGGCTGCCAAACGACAGACGTACCGCGGAGCTACCAGCGCGTGTCTGACTTCGCCAACACTCACGGTATCGAATGGTGTGAGCTCGCCCCTCGGCCCGAGGCCGAGCAGGGCGACACGCGGCTGTTCTGCAAAAAGTGCTGCCGGCTCGCCACGTCCAAGCCCCTGCGCAGGGCCCCGGGCAGGGCGTGCCCCAGCTAACGGCGCGGTCGGGAGCGTGCCGGGCGAGTCCGCCAAGCGGAAGCTGCGCCGTGATCATCAAGGGAAGCACCCGAAGTGCGGCCAAGTTGAACGCATCATGGCTCACTGGCCACTGGTGCCACAAGCTTTTGGGGCAGGCGCCCCGAAGGCACGAATGCTGTTATACAGCTTCCTGGCGCCAGCCAGATTCCAGCCTCGGCCACAGGAAAAAACACAGTCCCCTCCCCCTCCGCCTCCTCCTCCTCCTCCTCCTCCTCCTGGTCGCTCTCCTCCTCCTCCTCCTCCTCCTCCTCCTCCTCCTCCTCCTCCTCCTCCTCCTTCTCCTTGTACGCGCAGGCTGAGCAGGAGTCGCCCATTGCGTGTGAGGGCGAGGGGGAGGATGAGGAAGGGAAGGACGAGGAGGAGAAGGACGAGGAGAAGGATGACCTCAGTGGCCAGCCGAGAGCTTATGGGTGGGGGGGGCGGTTGGCGTTACACTAAAGGCCCTCTGGGGTTACTGGTGGTGCAACAGCTTCAAGGATGGAGTGTGGTTCTTGTTCAAACTAGGGGTGTCACTGGACACTCTCTTGAATGTCATGATCTTGCATCTTCGCATTCCTTGTTGCTCGAAGGATGCGTGGAAGCTCTGCTCCAAAACGGGGCTCTCGGTTGAAGGCAGCCCAAATAACGCCTGCAAGGACTCATGATGAGGGAACTTGGGACGGAAGGGTGTACTGCGGCATCGTTGACACATCCTGGGTTCCCTCTGGTCCTCCTGCTGCTCCTCTCTTCAGGACGTTCGGAAATGGTAATGGCTGCGCACAGACAGCCCTCCCAGTTGTCGTCTGGGCTGGCCTCAACAGGCCCCCCGAGTAGTCCCAGCCTGCCTCAACAGGCCCTCCGTTCGTCCTGTCGCCGCCTCTGGCGGCGCCCCAGGGGCGCTCCGCGCCCCAGGGTTGAGGTGTTGCGACCGCCCTAGACAGCTCGGGGAGCGTGTTGAGGCAAACTGGTCAGGACTACCTCGGGGGAGCTCCACGTGCGAAACTCGAAGTCCTAGACAGACCGTTTTCTGATTAATCGTGACAACGCCCGCGACTGCCCCCGCCCCCCCCCTCCCCCCCCTGGTCACGTCACGATTCGCGCTGGCGCCGTCTGGAAATCAGCCATTCCTTGGCATCCCCAAGCGGCACCAGCAAGAATCGTGACTTGATCGGCCCCCGCCTCCCCTCCCCCCCGGTCACGCCAGGAGGGTGCTGCCTGTGCGCAAATCGAAGCCATACCATTCTGAATGCACCCAGAACTCCCGATTACATCCGAAAGCCGCACCGCCGACAACGACGACAACGACGACGACGACGACGACGACGACGCTGGGCGCCCGCCGTGGTCGGTCTGCTTGAGGAACTGCCTGGAGCTCGGCGACAGGGCCACGCCGAGCATGCTGAGGAGCATCCGCCCCTTGCGGCTCCGTGCAGTAGATACCCCCCCTCCCCAACCCCCCGAGGAGGTCCTATCCAAATGGCCTGGAATTTGCAGCATTGTGCGTCCGTTCGCTACCAGCCTTAGTTCCCCTTTTTTATTTCATGATGTACACAAAGATGAGTGACTCACGCTGGCGCCAACAAGTTGCGACCTCCCATACAAATAGCGACGATGCGTCTGTCTTGCAATGCGGGCGAGCCAGTGCACTGGTCATAACCAGTTCGGCCTCAGCCCCCCAGCCGGCTCCAACTTCCAGCAACAGACCATCGCCTACATCTGGCGTGGGTCGTCCAGCAGCCCCGCGGCCCACCTGTGCACTGGGCGGCAGACGCATATCTGGCTGGAGAGCCTCGCGAGACAGAAGGACGCTGTCGTCGGCTCCCCGCCACGACCCTGGGTTGGGAGGCAAATCCTGGGAAGTCTTTGTGGAAACGACAAAACAACTACTGAGCCCGAGGGGCCATCAAGCCGGATTACGGCAGATCCAGCTCGGGGTTGAGCCCCAGAGAGCCCGAATGAGCGGGACCATTCCGGATTTAGCGGGATCAGCCGGGCCGAATCACACATCGGTTTTCGACCAAGGATGTGCCAGTGCCGATGACGAATCAAACCTCCCAAGGGTTGCCACCGAGCCTGGGGGTCCAGGCTCACCGTGCAGCCGTTCCCGGCGTTGTCGGCGGCGGCGAGGCACTCGCTGCCCTGCTGCCCACAGTAGTCGGAGCAGCTGACGCCCCGGGTGGCGACCGCGAGAGAGCACGCCCCCCTCGCCCACGCCAGGCCGCCGCACACGGCGTCGTGGCCGGAGAAGGCGCTGGCGCATGCCAGCGGCGTCACGGGAGAGTCCTCGGCGTCTCGCCGGCTGGTGCGATCCTGGCCGGCCGAGCCATCACGCGTCCACACCTCGGCCTCCATCGTGCCAGCCAGCCGTGCCGTCGCGCGGCCGTCCTCTTCTAAATTCACGGCCTGCTCCGGCCAGCTCGGCGCACCCTTGCGGAACGCCTCCGCTGCCAACTCGTCGGACCCTTGGCCTGGCCCAACCAGATGCACTGCCCCTGCCATCAATCTCGCGTGGCCCTTGTCGGCGTCCTTCTCCTCCACCTCCTCCTCCTCCACCTCATACATAGCCTCCTCTGGAGATCCCATGGGCTCCGTGGCGTTTCCTTCCTCCTGTAGCGATTCTAGAAGCCCTTGGCCTCTGGCTTCCCGACGCACCTCCTCCGCCCCATCGTCACCCGCCTCGTCGCCCACGGCTCGGCGGCGCACCGAGGGGGAAGTGAGAGGGGGCAAGACTTCTCAGAAGGCGGCGGGGCGTCTGAGAAACCATTTCCGAGAAACCGCCCGTGGCTTCGGAGAATGCTCAGCCAGCGTCTCAGAAGTCCAGAGGCCAAAATCTGTGCACTGTGCTTGGACCGCCACTTGCCACGAAGTGGTGGACAGACATAACATAATGTAGTGGGCATGTCACTGGTCCCGAAGAAGGCCCGCCCCCTGTGGAAACCAACAGGTACCGATGCGGCCACTCCCCGGACCTCCCCTGGAGTGCGGTCTGACCAGAATTTCGAAGCGAAGCCAGCCGCTGCGACGAGAGCCCCGCAGGAGGCCGCAAATAGGCGAAGACGATGCCCCACCGCCCCCCTGGTGGTGGTGGTGGTGTCGCCTTTCCTTGCTCGCAACATCGGCTCCCCTCGGCGGTCGGCGCCCGCTTGAGCCTCGATCCCTTCATGGCTGGGCGCATCCTCGGATGGCGAGAGAGCTCCTCCGCGTCCACCGTGCAAGGCGCTCCCTCCTCCTCCTCCCCCTCCGCCTCCTCCTCCTCCTCCTCCTCCTCCTCCTCCTCCTCCTCCCTCCTCCTCCTCCTCCTCCTCCCCTCCTCCTCTCCTCCTCCTCCTCCTCCTCTCCTCTCTCTCCTCCTCCTCCCTCCTCCTCCCCTCCTCCTCCTCCTCCTCCTCCTCCTCCTCCTCCTCCTCCTCCTCCTCCTCCTCCTCCTCCTCCTCCTCCTCCTCCTCCCCCCCGACCTCTCTGCCTCGCTCCCCCCCCTTGGGCGCGCCGCCGACTGGCCTCCTCTGGCGAGCTCGGCGGCCCTCCGGCCCAGCCCTCCTCGGGGCGCGCCCGGGCCCTGGCGGCGCCCGCCGCGGAGAGCCGCCGAGGCCCCCCGTCCGCGGCCTCGGGAGGAGGCGACAAAAAGGCATCACACAACAGCGCTCGGCGCTCCGCGCGGAGCTCCAGGAGCTTGTGGCTGTGCCGCCGATTCTTCGGAGGGGGGAAGCGCCCATGCCCTGCTGCCCTTGCCTCGCTTTTGTCCCATGTCGGAGCCTCCTGGGAGACATTCCGTCGCTCTCCGAAAGTTGGTGGTCACGCCGCTCAAACTTCGGAGAAGG